ATGACTTTGTTCTGTGTTATAAGTCCAAAAAGATGAACTTCATTGAGCGGCGGTTACAATCATGTCTAAACAAAATTCAAAATTTGGCCGATAATAATGGTTTTAAATTTTCAATGAGTAAAACGGCGTGTGTTCTTTTTGTTTAAAACGGAAAACCCATGATGATCCAAATTTGCAATTAAATGGAAATCCAATAAAAGTAGTTAAAGAAATGAAGTTTTTAGGCACTAGATATTATTAAAGTTATAGCAAACACAAAATGAGGAGATGATAAAGTACCCTACTTAAACTGTATCGCTCTCTAGTAAGATCGAAACTAGACTATGGATGTATTGTGTATGGATCAGCTAGGACTTCCTATATAAAAGCTCTCGACGCAATCTATCGTCAAGGTCTTAGATTGTGCTTGGGGGCTTTTCGAACATCTCCTAAAGATAGTTTATATGTAGAGGCAAATGAACCACCTCTAGATTGATTGATTGTATATTGTTTTACGTCCCATTCGAGAATTTTTCACTCATATAGAGACGTCACCATATACCGGTGAAGGGCTTCAAATTTTGACCTTTACTCGGCACTCAGGGCCATTGAGCAGTGAGGGATCTTTATCGTGCCAACGCCTGCCGTGACACGGGGCCTCGGTTTTTAAGGTCTCATCCGAAAGACCCGCAACTTTCACTTCAAAGTGCCGAGCGCATGGCGAAGGAACAGTTGCTACCTATTTTTTATCGACTTAGGTCTGTCGCGGCCGAGATTCGAACTCACGACCTCCCGATCAACCACCTCTAGACTTAAGAAGAAGAATTATACTTGCTTTACAGTATATAATTAAATTAAAAGCAAACACGGATAATCCTGCTCATGACTGTGTTTTTCATCCACAAAATGCACATTCATTTGATAAAAACAAGAAATGCATAAAACCACTTTGTTTTCGATTTAAAAATCATATTGGAGATTCTGAACTACCATTGGACATAGTCAAATCTACTATTCTTTCTAAAATACCACCATGGAATTTTATTTTTAAATTTCATGTCCGTCGGATGGGACGTTAAATGGTGCCCCGTGTCAAGGATTGCAACCCCCTTGGCACGCTAAAGATCGTTTCTCTGGTTTTCGAAAAATGAGTAGGCTCATTGGGGGCCGCCAGAGAAACCCAAAACTTTCAAAACCGTTCCTATAATTAAATTCATACCGTCGAAATATGGCTGAAATATTGCCGACTCGGCGTAAAACAATAATAATCAATCAATCAATCAATCACGTATCTAGTGTAAATAAAATCGGAGGAAATTCCAATTAAAGTACAACAACAAAACCCCAAAAATGGAGAAAGAAAATTATTTAACATTTCAATCCTTAATAAATTTTCCATTGGAAAATGTCAACATTGTATATTACTAAATGACAGTATTTATAAATATGAATATAAACAAAACAACGTACAGACCCTGAAACGTGCTACTACCCCACACGCACGCTGCACGAACGGTACACGCTCGCTACACGGTTTGCACGAAACGCTGCACGGTTTACACGAAACGCTACACGGTTTATACGAAAGGCTGCACGGTTTACACGAAAGGCTGCACGAAACGCTTTGTACACGTTTCTCACACGCTTTGTACACGATTCTCGCACGCTTTGGCCTCGATCTGGATTTTCTATTCGGAATCTCTCGGGCATTATTATCCCCTCGCGCAACTAGTTGCGGAGGGGATGTAGCATCGCTACTGTGCGTATGTGTGTGTGTTAGTGTGTTAGTGTGTCCGTTAAAGCTTGTGGGCAAGATTTAAAGAGAACCTTTGCACTGTCAATTCTCAGCCTTCACATACTTATGTGGCATTGTAAAAGGATGAACCCTATTCATTTTCAAATTAATCGGTGAAATAGTTCTTAAAATATCGCGTTTTTACTACCTTCAAACCCTGCAATTTTACGTAGGAGTTGACAATACTCACTTCCGGTAAATATAACAGGTTAAAATTCGGGTCGTTTCGATAGAGCCGCTTCTGAAGTTCTGTAAGTTCTGCTTTGTATTTGCGTATTGTCATATTATTGTGCGTATCTTGAAAAAATTTGTATGAATTAAAATCGTCGTATTTGTCACTGAGTAACTGAAATAATTTGATGAACGTCGCGGTTTCAATACCAAATTACCACACGTGTGTGTTAACTACCTATAGGGGCCTGTGGAATCTAATCTAATCTTGAGGCGCACGTAATTCTTGAAAGCTATAAATATAAAGTTGCACAAGTTTCATTGACATCTCAACACAGGTATTGTCATTTTTCAATACAAAAAATATTACTTCCGTGCGTATATAGATTAGATGCATATTACATGCTACTGTGAGGTTTACTCAGGTAGGTAAATTAATGAAATTTAGAGCATACGTGATATGTTTCTGCTAGGAATAATGAAACTGCCCAATCACGTATGCTTGTTATGACAGCCCCCCCCCCCCCCCCCCGATGATATCCACCTTGACTTTTGTTAAAATTTAATTCAATTGGGTTGCAATACATTTTAATTTCTTTACCTTATTTTAAACTTTATATAGTAATACTGGGTACCCTTGATTACTAGGCCTAGATGATTGTATCTTGTTTAACGTCCCTCTTGAGAGTTTTTCTCTCATATGGAGACATTGCCATTACCGGTGAAGTTCCTGGCGCGAGGGGATGCTCCGCTTAGCGGTGCTCTTGTTTATTTTTTTACGGGTTAAATATAGATTAATTAAGATTCGCAATCTTTCACAGCACGTTTTAAATTAAAACTCGCTACACCTGTACTACATGTTTATAAACTGTTAGAAATATTCAAAGTTTAGTAGTTAATAATTCATGATTGTCTTTCCGTTTGTAATCCGCTTGTTTTTTAAGGTGATATGCCCATCATCGTCAGTGTACATCCTTTTTTCTCTAAATTTTACACTGCAAGAGAATCATTTATATTTGTCCCCCATAATTTCTTTCGGTTTTATTTTTTTTTAAGTATTATATTAAAAAACTCGTTTATTAGCGAAATATAACTTTAGTAATTAATTTTAATAAATATTGTACTGTGTTTATTTCCATGAACGGACCGAATTTCTTATGATTTAGCAGTAAGTTTATTTTATTTAATTAATTCAGGTTCACCTCTTTAATATGCAAAATTAATAAGTACATTGCAGAAAAGAGGATGGTTATGCATTTTCTTTCTCTCTTTTGGTTGGTGGGCGAGGAGGGGGGGGGGGTTACCGAGATCTTGCTTGTGTATCTGTAAATCTGACATGGCTAAAGACCACCGGCAGTCGTTTCAGTAATTATACTATCGGGAAAAAAATATTAGAGAAACAAGTAACTGTGCATAAGAATATTCATGTCTCTAGCGAGATTTAATAAAATAAAACATTTTATACCAAATGGTAGTTTTAACATTTAAACGTTTTATTAAAGAGTTTAATTTAACATTAGAATTCTATATGGAAGAATGGAAGAAAAACCCGCGGGGAGAGGGGTATAAAGGATAATTAGCTATCTCTACATGTACCTAAAATGACAACAATATACATGTACCCATCACCTTGTAAATTCCTTCCTTATAAAACTCGGTAGAGGGGAAATGTTATTTAATTTACAAATAGTCACGGCACAACTTACCACGCAATTTTCGTGTATACATGTCCAAGTACATTACATGAAAACTCAAATATTTTTGAAAAATACAAATTAAAGCTGCCTGATTTATAAAACAACTGATATGTAATTGTTATTTATAATTTATTTCTAAACTCTTTTTTATTAATTGTGACTGCCGAACAATCCACTGATCACGGATATTCAGGTTGATTAAAAATAAAATCCATGTGTATTATGTGTACCAATTAAATAAAAAAAAATAAGCATTTAGTATCACAAATTTAAACTCAATCGTTATTCTCGGGTGTATTTTATCCATGATTGACAAAAGATAAAAGCAGAACAAGTTTTCAGTTCTCTGCCCGTGGAGCCCGTGGTCGCTGTTGTACATGTAAATGACCTTGATCACAGTCGCACATTGCAAATCGAAAGTTGAATATTTAAATATTCCAATATATTTTAAGTGGTGCATCCGATGCACCATATCAATTAAGTATTTATTTCTTTATACAAAAGAAAGTCAGTTATGCTTTTTAACACCCGGTACCGACAAATATTGAAATTTAAATCTTGCGTTTTTGAAATGCGCCCCCCCCCTTCGGTAATTTCTAATCCTGCGTTCGTAAATGCATGTGAATTATACTAAAAATTTTTCAATTATTAATCAACCCATGCTATGTGTTAGAAGGCTATTAATGACACACAGTTTTGATTAAAATTATTTAATACAATCTGGTAGTAAATAAACAAGAGCGGAGTCCTGATAAAATTTCGTTTGTTGCTTTCTTTGGAAAATAAAATAAAAAAGATATGATCACTCCGATTGTGCATTAAAATCAATTCATTCAAAATGTTGCATATACACTGTAATTACATGTAATTAATTTGAATAAATTTCCTGTCCATCTTTATTTTTGAGAGAAAAAAATAAAGAAAAACAAATTAAATATATATTTACCGTGTAATTTTATTTTGTTGCTCTCATACTTTTTTTTTTTAAATTTCACTCTTAAAATACATCCAGTATAATATCTCCGAATAACATTAGCTATAAACAACACTATTTGACATCCTGACCCATTGATAGCCATATTTAAAATGAAATGACTTCCGAATGAATCATACACGTTTCTCACACGATTCTTGCACGAAAGTCGCACGTTTCTCACACGGTTCTTACACGAAAGTCGCACGTTTCTCACACGCTTCTCGCACGCTCGCTACACGGTTTGCACGAAACGCTTTGGAGCTTACACGAAACGCTACACGGTTTGCACGAAACGCTGCACGGTTTACACGAAACGCTACACGGTTTGCACGAAACGAAAAGCGCACGAAAGTTACACGCTTTTTTGGGGTAGTAGCACGTTTCAGGGTCTGTACCTATGCTTTCTTTCGCTTTGCATAAGCTCCACGGACCTTTGCTTTGGTCTGTTCGCTACACAGCTCTTCTTCAGTAAAAGTGGCACATCTGGGACGGCATTTAACCTCAAACGTTTCCTAAATGTTTCTTGAAGCCCCATTTTTCTGAGAAGCTGGGGGTCTTGTTTGAAACAATTGGGTGAAAAGTGATCCGAGCATAATCTGTGTCCTGAAGTGGGAGTAAAGTTCTTTCGCCGACAATAATGAGCCCACTGCTTTCTGAGATTAACATCTTTAGGAAAAGTGAAGAAACGTATCCCTTTGTCCTTTTCTGCCTTATTATTACATCCAAATGCAGCGCAGTAGTCCATTTTACATCATGTACATGTGCTTTCGCTAAACGTAAACAATGAACTGTGGGGAACTCAAGAGTATCTATGACGAAGAGCCTCGTTATCAGCTCAGAAATATGCATATTCTAACCTCCGGTTTTATCAGCATCACACCGCGGGATATAAACAAGACTCAATAGAAACACATGTTTATTTATGTTATTATGACATCGATTGGCATTTTTGACAGGGAAACAAAAGATTAAGAAAATCATGTCAGAAATCCTTTAAACAACAAACAAACAAACGAAACAAAAAAAACCCCAGCATTCTCCTTCCTGATGACATCTTTTCTCATAATCTCCAACATCTCCCTCTAAATGACAAGAAGCTCAGATGTATCTCCTACTAAAAATAATAAAAAAATAATAAAATACACATATGCAAAAAATCCATAATTAAAAAAAAATAGACTCTTAATAATAGTAAAACAAGCATAGAACAAATCATACTAGTAGTTCATCGGCTGATTCAGTCATAATTACAGTCACTCTGCATAAAAAGTACCAGCAGTTTAAAATACATGAGCAGTTCATTGTCAATGATCTTTGTGATATTTTGCAAGCCTTCAACATTCTTATATAACAAAATCTTCAAAAACATTTATATACATTGCAAATAAAAAAGGCGAAAGATTTTCTCCCTGCCTTACTCCGACATTACAGATAATATTTTTTGTCAATATGCCATTCATTTCAACTATGAACTTAACACCTTTGCAAATATTTTGAATACGCAGGTAGGTTAAGGCTTCCCGTAGAATATGACAGTGCACTTTCTGCCTTCGCATCTCTGAACTACCAAAATGTGACGTCTTAATGGAAAATGACGTCAGGTCACTGCAAACTTGAGGTGTTATGACGGGGAGAGTGTCATTAACTTTACACTTTATTTCAAACAGCATCTAAAATGCTAGATAGCTATTGCAAAATTCACGGATCGTTAAAGGTTTTTTAAGTCTTTTATGTCCGAATATTTTAAAAATACACCGCTTACCTACCCTTGATTGAAATTCATCATGTTCAAAATGCTTATGAAAAATATACTTTTGAAACGTACTCTATTTTATACCCGTGGTTGGAGGTAGAATTTATTTTGTGTGTATAAAAGAGTCTGACGCAGGTGATTAATGAGGATTAATCTGAGAATTTTTGTGGAAATCTGTAAGAAAAGGTTGTTCTCTAACTGAATCCTGCTTGGGAAAAATGTGTGTTGGCTTTGTTTTAATACAGATTACGATATTGTGTGGAAAATACCCTCAAATTTGTAGGTAAGTTGAATTTCTCAGGAAATACTTTGTACCCAAGTAATACTATGACTTTTCCCAAGCACATTTCGGATACACAAGGATACAATGAGTTTATCTATATAAGAAAATGTTAATAATTATTGTGTTAATCAGCTGCGCCGAAGCGATTTATATGAAACACTTCAAAAAATTATAAATGACCGTCACGTGATCAACAAAGTCATGTGATGTCATAACAAATATGCTAATATATGGCCGAGGAAACCCTTTATATAAATTGGAAGTACTAAAGTTCAATACTTATAAATTAAAACCAAAACCGACCTCGCAATGGCATATTATGTTTTGAGCGCATTTTAAAGCTTCGGGAAGCCTTAACATAGCTGCGTATATTGAAAACATTTGCTGCGTACTCCACTAATAGTAACAGTCCAAAGCATATTCCGCCACATGGGATCGAAAGCTTGTTTAAAATCGATAAAAGCACAAAATAATTATCTTTCTTTGCCTTAAGGTATGTCACTCGTGAAATTTGTTATATCAAGGATTTTTTGAAAAGTATATATTGGATAAGTACTCGCATAGTATGACTCAAAATCGCGGAGAAAATGGGGGGTCAGTGTGCATCTAACTGAGCTACGGTACAATTAAGTTGACCTTTTTGCACTTAAATTTTAACTCTTTGGTTAATTACTTTAACCTTTATCATATTTTATCAGATGTAACCATGGCAATAAATATAATCTTATTTTACGTAAAATACTTTGAATAATATTTATCATTGAACAAATCATGCAAATTAATGCGCGTAAATTACTCTGTGACCTTTTTGCACTAAAAAAGTAACATATTTGGGGTATTAAAAATCTAAATAGGCAATAAAATATTTTCTTGTATCAAACTTTGTATGACTTAATTGTTGATTGGTCACAAGTATCGAGTTGTTTAAAATAATGAAAGAAAAAGTTGGGGTCAGTGATGTAAATTTTGAAATATTGGTCCAAATATGCAATTTTTAGCCAAAAAAACTGTGTAAATTTTATCTTGACTTCTTTAATATATCTTCATTTCTCTGGGAAGTTTGTTGACGGAAGGTGTAAAATTTGTTCTAAAAATATAAATTGAGACCTACATTTAATATTCCTAGCATATCATAAAGGAAAATATTCTCTGAGTAAAAGTATGTGACGCTAAAGTTCCAAGATATTGAATTTGATAAATGGGCAGATTTGCTGAATTTTCTTCTGAATATCCTTCCACCACAAGAAATAGTCCCTCATAAATCTTGCTTCCTTATGAATTTTTGTGCAGTTTTTTCATTGAATGTTGAACAACTTACATTGTTTAATTTAAATATGATATAAAAATTGAATTTTATTAAATAGTTTTGAAGAGGTTCTGACTGAACTTTTCTAAAAGCTGACGAGTGAAATACCTTAAAATATTTATGGTGGTATATTTCTGCCCCCTACATCAAGTTAAATTATGTCAACTAGCAAGAAAATCAAGTCGACATGAAAGAAAATTATGTTGTAATGCAAGATAATTATTTTGTAATGCAAGGTACAAATCTTTTAAGAGATTTAGAAATTCGTAACATGTTTACAGGGAAGGAAATACAAAATAAGAGGCCCACTGGCTATCATATATCGTGGGTACTAAGTATGCATAAGAAAATAAATCAAAACATTCTTTGAATAATAAATATACCTCAAACGCGTGTTTATTAGCTCATTTGCTTAGAAACGCCTATACCTACCCTTAACTCACATGTGAAGGCTCTCATCCTCTTAGCTTTCGCTGAGATGGCAAAGATGGCACGATCTCCATAGAATTGCGTATTTTATCGAGCATGTACCTTACTTTGGATAGCTTTTCCTTTCGGCATTCCAAACTATCTACTTCATTAGAAAAAAATCAAATAACTTTTTATGTGCATAAACCGGTCTCCAAATAGCAGTCCCTTAAAAGGCACGGACGCTGGACCATAATATACAGACCGGATTTTTTTTTCAAACAGCCAGTTCCTGGGTTTAAGTACGGTTTAGAATACCGATGGAGGAGTCAAAATTGCCATTTACTGCTGAATAAAAGGCTCTAATCGCTTTGCTTATTACAGTGGCAGCAGCTTAAAAATGATATTCTTTCAGTTGTTCCTTTTTTTATGCAAATTTTACGTTTCTAGAGGAAAAATCAAAGTACTGAAAGTACTCATGGGAGTTGAACATGGTGTAAATTCAGTTAGAAGTGATAGCAATTTGAGTGGGAAGTTTGGTGACTGAACATTATAATCATTTTAATTATACCCAGCTGTTTCAGATTTCCATAGTGTTGCAACAAACTTCAGGAATACTTTCAGAAGCACTGAATAGCAAGAAGGCGCATGGGCCATAATGCTTGCCTGCTTACTTTAGTCCTGGTTCTGTTTTTCTTTTCCAAAGTTTCAATATATTTCCCCTCATGAAAGAAAAGTGACCATATATTATGGACAGACCAAACTGAACCATAAGGGACCTCACGTCCAATTGTTGTTAAAAAGATGTTTAAAGAGGCTGGGGGGTTGTGGCCATTTTTAGAATATATTGATCTCCTTTAGAAGAAGAGCTCCATATGAAGATATAGAAAATGATCAAATTTTAAAACTAAAATTTTTGAAATTTTTCTTTGCCAAATGATAGTTGACAGCTTAAGATATCATATCTAAAAAATTAAGTTAAATCTGGTAGTTAACTTGTTGACCCCCCAGCCTCCTTAACGATTCATCGTTTTTCTTGCATTTTCTTTATTATCTACCATTGGAAGCAATATGGAATGTAATATACCCAAGGATGTTTTGTGCAAACTTTGTTTAAAAAGAAAGAAATAGGTCAGGTTTTGAGAAGTCTAAAATGTGAGAAGTTTATAGACGGACTGATGGTGGAGAAATAGTTAAGTGGGTGTTGCGAAGTCTAAAATGTGAGTTTATAGACGGACTGATGGTGGAGAACAGATGATCAGAGAAGCTAAGTCACTTGATCTTTCAGCTCTTGTGAGCTGAAAATCAAATTTAAACCACGGTATTCAAATAATTATATGTTTGTTTGTAATTTTATACCATGGTCAAAATTGAACAGGGGGTGGGAGGGGGGGGGGGATTAACCTAACACTGGGAAGTAAACAGTTGATCTAGAATGGAAGTGTTTTTTTGTTTTTTTTTTACATATACAAGATCCATAACTTTTTTCTCCTTAGTTTTATAATATTTTTTTATGAGCACATCAGGCATGTATTTTAACCAGAGCAATTTCCGAATCCTTTTCTTTAGCATAAATGCAATGGTGTGGTGCAATCACAGGTGGCAGCCAGTTTAAACTCCGACATACAATGAAGTAGTACATTGGGGGCACCTTTACCCATGTGTTCTGAAAATTTCAGTTTGATCAGGAATATTTTCAATGTTGATAAAATGTGGCACTTTGACACAACATCCTTTTAAGTGCCAACAGGTTTGTTGTATAAAACTTCACTGTGAATATCAATGTATTTTGAGAATGATCTAACCGTGTCTCGGGACAAGCCCACACCACAGTTAGAATACATCTCATATACTTGCAATGTAGCAAATCGCAGCGGATCCACTCCGAAATGATTTTGAAGAATACAAAAGGAGTTGCACTGAAAATAACTACTAAATTAATAATAACAAACCTTTTCGAGATTGTATATGCCTTTTGACCTAAAAAATAATCCATATTAATACGAAAATTCAACTCATTTTCTCAGCGTTTTTTCCTCGCTTCAAATTTACATGCCATGTTGACATTTGGAACTCTCTGGGTTGTTCTTAGAAAATGCACAGAGTTCGAATTATCACCTGTGTTTATTTTGCTACATTGCCCAATACACGGAATGAATTCTATCGTTAAATCGGGTCCGTAGGACAATATCATTTTAACGATAGAACATTATATCTATTTGATTACATGAGCATTATAAATGTAGAGTACGTCAGAACTTAACGTTTCTTAATATTGTGAAGGAAAAAAAGCAATACAAGTTTAAAATAATTATTTAATCAAACATAAGAAACAATGGTAAATAGCTTACAATGAAGACAGAAGTCAATATTGTAGTATAAATCAGAAAATGCACCAGAAAATGTGTTCACAAATTTCAAATAAAAGTTAAAATTCCATAAATATTGTAGTGAACAGATAAATGAATGATTGCATCTAGGAAAGCTCTGTAAAAAGCTTATTCTATTTTTAGAACGACTTTAAGATTACAATATAATACTGCAACAATTTGAAATGGCCAACAGGAAATAAAGGTGACCAATATGAACATTTTTGGCAACATTAAAAATGAATATTGTGGAGGAATAACACTTGGCATTATCAGTTAAAAAAAGAGGTGCAAGGGCCACAACACTCACCAGAGCCACCACTATGGCCCTGCTGTTCATTATCAGTGGTTGTCCTCATATAGTCCTATTTAAAACATCAGTAGGTCATGGTGGTGCCAACCCTACAACCGAGATCATAATGCAAACAAATTTGAATCTTTATTATGTGAGTATGCTCTATATGAATATGATCCTTTTAAATAACCCCATAAATTTCATATCTGGACATAGGTGGAAATTCTTTTTTTTTTTTTTTTTTTTTTGAAAGCTGTTGAAATAATTAACTCCCCTTGAAAGAGGGTGCAGCCCTTCATTTGATGAAAGTTGAATGCCTTTCACCAAAGGATGGTTTGTGACAAATTTGATTGAAATTAGCCCCTAGTGGTGGAGAGGAAACAAATGTGAGAAGTTTATGACAACAGCAGACATCAGACAAATTTCAATTAGAAAAGTGCACATGAGCTTCTGGCACAGGTGAGCTAAAAAAAATTGTCATTTAAAAGAACAAAGTCAAGACAACCAGAACTAATCTAAAAGTTGCAACAACAAAAAAATATTAGTTAATATAATGTATACTAGTGAGTAAAAATGTTAAAAATATGGTATAGTCATTTCAAAAGTTTCTGACAAATGACGGTATTCAATAAATTTTGTATATAATGTAGCTAATACTATTTTATGTACTTGACTGAACTATGGTCAACACTGTCATGTGTTGTTTTTTTAAATTTGTGAAGAGATTTAAATCTCCTTAGCAACTGTTCATGCAAGAGGATTTGAAATCCGGGCAGACTTTCAAGAAATGCCAAACACATGTAAGTGTATGCAAAATATAAAATATCTACATGTAACAAAACACTAATCAAATGAGCTAAAAAAAAACTGTCATTTAAAAAACACTCCAGAACTAATCTAAAAGTTGTAACAAACAAAAATACTACTTAATATACAAGTATACTAGTGAGTAAAAAAGTTACAAAATATGGTATAGTCATTTCAAGAGCTTCTGACAAATGACAGTATTCAATATAATTTGTACATAATGTAGCTAATACTATTTTATGTACTTGACTGAACTATGGTCAACACTGTCATGTGTTTCTTTATTTAAATTTGTGAAGAGAGTTACCTCTCCATAGCAACTGTTCATGCATGAAGATTTGAAATCCGGGCAGACTTTCAAGAAATGCCAAACACATATAAACTCATAAAATATTTGCATGCAACAAAACACTAATCAAGTGAGCTAAAAAAAATTGTCATTTAAAAAACAAACACTCCAGAACTAATCTAAAAGTTGTAACAAACAAAAATACTACTTAATATACATGTATACTAGTGAGTAAAAATGTTACAAAATATGGTACAGTCATTTCAAGAGCTTCTGACAAATGACAGTATTCAATATAATTTGTACATAATGTAGCTAATACTAGTTTATGTACTTGACTGAACTATGGTCAACACTGTCATTACTTCTTTATTTAAATTTGTGAAGAGAGTTACCTCTCCATAGCAACTGTTCATGCAAAAGGATTGAAATCTGGGCAGACTTTCAAGAAATGCCAAAGACATATAATTGTATGCAAAGTATGAAATATTTACATGTAACAAAACACTTATCAAGTACAGTATTATCTAAATAATACTACATGTACTTCATAGTTACAGAAGACACTTAACTCAATATGTTAAAATACAGTTAACAATGTAACTGTTTTTGCCTGACAAATATTCAATCAATGAGAAATGTATACCATTAAAAACAGAAATCTTTCAAGTTAAGATACAATACAGTTACAATGAAGATAAAAATATCAAAAACAGACATTTAATATGATTTATATACAATGTGGACACTCAAAGAAATTGGGATGAAAATGAAGGAACACAAGTGTTATATCGACTAAGTAACCTAATACAACACCAGCTTTTAGATCACAATAAAAGGACATCTAAGTTCTTTGGTAGTACAATTGAAATATGTAACAGAAGAAACTATTCAAAAAATTGTATGTGCCATGTCCAAATCAACCATACAGAAATGTTGATGACAACATTGTCAAGGCAAATGGTGTAAAACAAATTATTACAGTGAAAGTATTTGTAAAAAAAAGGCTAACAATATCATCTAAGACTAATGTTTTTAAGTAAACATTGAGAGACACATGTTCAACTACATGTTGCCAAATAAACTACATGTTGCTAAATAAACATTGATAGACACATGTTCAAATCACCATTATGAGACAGTCAATGTGAGAAACAGCAGCATAGTGACAAAGCATTAATTTTAACTTGCTTGAATTCTTGGTATTCAGTTTCTGTTTTGATCAATCATGATTCAGCATTCAATATAAGAAATGAAGAATTTCCAAAAATTTGGATAAAAAATGTTTTGTATCTCTTTGTAAATACAGTCAAGTTTTTCTTTAGTACAGAATGTCTCTTTGATTAACTTAGATGAGCTATATCTTTAAGGGAAATGTAAACTTGGAAGACTTTTAAGTGTAAAGTATGGAAAATAATATTGACCAAATAAAGGAATGAATTTCTGAAAGTACACAGATGTTCCAATAAATATAAAAATATGTCAAGAAAAGATCCATACAATAATATTTATGTTACAATGTTTTAATTAAAGGGAGAAAAGGAAGACACACCAAAAAATAAAATTAGGGAAAACATAATTTTCATGTCATCATGAGAATTCATTTTTTTTAAACAGATAATTGTATATATTTCTGTACCTTATCGAATAATTATGTCTGGAAATGGAAGGAAAATTTCACGTGTTGTTTTTTAAGGAATTATAATAGATTAACCATAATCAAACTAACAAGTACTAGCTGCAAACAATGTGGATGGGTTTTTTTTATCATACATTTGTACATTTCACATCGTTCATGATGATTTAAGCAGTAGAAAAGTCCTCCACATTTCCATTCAGTGTTTTGATTCTGCATTTAAATGGAATTTTTCCTGAAAGAGTTGTTTCAGCTGCATTTTGTTCACACTGAAGAGCCTTGGTGACTAAGTTCAATGGTATATCAAGATGCTGAAAGTTTTCCCCTTCTTCAATCATAAGGGAAAATCCCAACTCATTCTTTTCATATGCAATGACACTGCCAACCAAAATGGATGGGGGAGCTTCACATTTCTAAAAAATGAAGTTTAATAATAGAGATGTTGGCATATTATTTTAATTATAGTTATGGCACTGATTTTACAAGTAGTCATGTATAAAATGACAGTTTTTATTCTTTATTATCTTTGATATCGTCAACAAGGCTCATATATATGAATTTCAATGAACCCTCTTTTTAGTTATTTTATTGTCAATTATTTGAACCTGTAATTAAATTCTTTTTAAAAAACAACATATTTACACTTGCAAATGTTTTCCCTTATTATATATAACACTATCTAAGCAAGTTGTATATTTAATTTTGTGTAAAAACGTTCGTCATGTGTCCTGAACTTCACTGTTCAGTCATAAGGCTAAATAAAATTGAAATGATGGTTCTCAGGCCCATGCTCATCCGTTTTGAGGTAGCTGCATTCCAAATTTTTAGCTCTTCTGAGCCAAAGGCTCAAAGAGCTAATGCTATGGCCATTTGTGCGGTGTGCGTAAACTTTTTAGAATATGGGCCATAACTCAAGAACCCCTTGGCAAATTATTGTCAAATTTGTCACAGGGTATCCTTGGCCCAAGGGCTCCCTTTTATACTAAAACTGGGGTTGTGACCCTTTAACAAGGGGAGATAATTAGGAAAATAGAAACAAAAGTACTGGTTGCTAAAAAATCTTCTTCTCAAGAACCACTGGGCAGATTATCACCAAACTTACACAAAAGGATGAGAATATGTTGTAGATTAAAATTTGCACGGGGATTTACCCTGGGGCAAAGGGCGTGGTCTCAAGGTCACTTCAAAGTTGACCAAAAATTACATTTTATTAAAATGTTGATATTTTGCTTACTATAAGGACTAGGACCATCAAATCTTGTCAGTTGGTGCATCTAAGGACCTCATATCATGTTGACTCAAAAGTAGGTCACGGTGACCTACTTTTTAAATTTTGCGGCCATTCTTTTTCAAAATGATTTAGAGGCATATTTTGAACAATTTAAGGCCTATGATCATCAAACTTTGTCAGTTGATGCATCTTGGGTCCTCAAAGTACGTCAACTAAAAAGTAGTTCACCTTGACCTACTTTTTGAATTTTATGGCTAATCTTTTTTAAAACAATTAAGGTCATTAATTCGAATACGGGGAGGCTTAGAATCATTAAATCTTGTAAGATGATGCATCTTGGGGCCATAAAACATATTATTAAAAAGTAGGTCACAGTGACCTACTTTTTGAACTTTGCAGGCATTCGATTTCAAAGCGTTTTAGAGGCATAATTTGGACATTTTAAGTCCTATGATCATAAAACTTTGTAAGTTGATGCATCTTGGGTCCTCAAAAAAGGTCAACTGAAAAGTAGGTCACCGTGACCTACTTTTCAATTTATATGACTATAATTAAATATTTCAGGTACTAATTGGCTTAGAATCCTAAAACTTTGTCAGTTGATGCATCTTGGGTCTTCGGAGTAGGTCGAATAAAAACTAGGTTACATTGACCTACTTTTGAAAATTTATGGCGTTAATTAAATATTTCGGGTACTAATTGGCTTAGAATCATCAAACTTTGTCAGTTGATGCCTCTTGGGTCTTCAGAGTAGGTCGACTAAAAAGTAGGTCACCGTGACCTACTTTTGAAAATTTATGGCTTTAATTAAATATTCCGGGTACTAATTGGCTTAGAATCATCAAACTTTGTCAGTTGATGCCTCATGGGTCTTCGGAGTAGGTCGACTAAAAAGTAGGTCACAGTTACCTACTTTTGAAAATTTATGGCTTTAATTAAATATTTTGGGTACTAATTGGCTTAGAATCATCAAACTTTGTCAGTTGATGCATCTTGGGTCTTCAGAGTAGGTCGACTAAAAAGTAGGTCACCGTGACCTACTTTTGAAAATTTATGGCTTTAATTAAATATTTCGGGTACTAATTGGCTTAGAATCATCAAACTTTGTCAGTTGATGCCTCATGGGTCTTCGGAGTAGGTCGACTAAAAAGTAGGTCACCGTGACCTACTTTTGAAAATTTATGGCTTTAATTAAATATTTTGGGTACTAATTGGCTTAGAATCATCAAACTTTGTCAGTTGATGCATCTTGGGTCTTCAGAGTAGGTCGACTAAAAAGTAGGTCACCGTGACCTACTTTTGAAAATTTATGGCTTTAATTAAATATTTCGGGTACTAATTGGCTTAGAATCATCAAACTTTGTCAGTTGATGCCTCATGGGTTTTCGGAGTAGGTCGACTAAAAAGTAGGTCACCATGACATACTTTCGGAAAATTTATGGCTTTAATAAAATATTTTGGGTACTAATTGGCTTAGAATCATAAAACTTTGTCAGTTTAAGCGTCATGGGTCCTCGGAGTACAACTGAAAAGTAGGTCACAGTGACCTACTTATGAAAAATTATGGCTTTAGTCAAATAATTGGCTTAGAATCTTTAAACTTTGTCAGTTGATGCGTCTTGGGTCCTCGGAGTACAACTGAAAAGTAGGTCACCGTGAGCTACTTTTGAAATTTTATGGCTGTATTTAATATTTTCAGGAATTATTTGGCTTAGAGTCGTCAAAATTTGTCAGTTGATGCATCTTTGGTCCTCGGAGTAGGTTGACTGAAAAGTAGGTCACCGTGACCTACTTTTGAAAATTTATGGCTGTAATTAAATATTTTGGGTACTTATTGGCTAGAATCATCAAACTTTGTCAGTCGATGTATCTTTGGTCCTCGGAGTACAGCAACTGAAAAGTAGGTCACTGTGACCTACTTTTGAAAATTTATGGCTTTAATTGATTGATTGTATGCTGTTTTACGTCCCATTATGGCTTTAATTAAATATTACAGGTACTAATTGGCTTAGAATCATCAAACTTTTGCATCTTGGGTCCTTGGAGTAAAACAATTGAAAAGTAGGTCACTTTGACCTACTTATAAAATTTTATGGTTATAATTTTAAAAAATATTTTAGGTATTAATTGGCTTAGAATCATCAAACTTAGTTGATGGGTCTTCAGAGAATGACAAGTGATAAGTAGGTCACCATGACCAACTCTCAGGTACTAATTGGCTTAGAATCATCTTGGGTTCTCAGAGTGTGAATTGAAATTTCGAGGGTTTATCTAAATATACAGGATACTTCGAGGCTTCAAATAGAAGTGATAGGTTGTACAGTTTATCAGACGAGCGATTCAAGGCCCATGGGCCTCTTGTATTGTATTTTTAATAAAATAAAAAGTTGGCAATGTGGAGACCAATCCGGGAAAAAAAGTTTTTCTCTTAGTACTTGAATATCGCTTCTGGTAGCCATTTTCAAAGAGACTAGGCTTCTTCATTTAAAATACATTAGAAGATATTGCCTACAATGTTCACACGTTGATAGGCAATGGATTATGCAAACCTATTTATCAGACATGGAAAGTATGGGAAGTATATCTATGAACAAAGATTTTTTTAGAAAATTCAGGTATGAAAAAAATACCTCCCTCATCTACTTGAGCACCAATAAAATGATAAAAAGAAAAACCTCCCTCTCGCATCTGTATTGGAGAAAATTGGCCGGAGAACCAGAGAATTAAAATTTATTAGCCTAAGATTAACATAATTTCACAGTGACGTTATAAGTGGTAGACACGTAGAAGTCCAGAATTTTTAATTCTTAATCATGGAAATTATCTTTTCAAGCATACAAGTTTTTATTTTTGACAATATAAAATACTGTGATGGAAATGGGCAAATACAGCTGAAAATTCTAAGTGTCCAATCAGGCTGGTTCAAATTAACATTTACTAGCCTGAGTCAATTTTTTATGTGTGTTAGGACTTTTTGTGCGCACCGAAATTTTAAACTACATTGCTTTTTTCTTCTTTTCATTGACAATTATTCATCATGTGGAATATGGAATTTTAATGAATTGCTACAGCTTCAGCTGTGACAAACATTCATTAATGTCTAAGAGATTTACAAATATGTTAATTTTTAATTTTTTTTTTACCTGTATTTGTGTTTTTGAAGTGGTTGACAAGGAAATTTCTTCCTGGAAGTGGTTGACAACTACATTTGTGATTTGGAGGAAACTTCCTACACTACAAGTTGCAGTCATTTCTCTCCAGAGACTGACTTTCACTTCATCTGTGTCATCCTTAATTTTTATGTTTTGGACAGCAACATCCTGCCCTTTCACTTGAACTGTCCTCACCAGTTCCTCCTAAAAATTCAATATATCATGAACAAAGTAATGCATAAATTAAAATAGTTAGCCATATTATTGAAAAAACTTTACATAAATTTTGGCAACTTACTGAAGTGACTCTTCCTTTAACACTGATCAATGTTTTCACCGGAGAGATCTTGGCAGCTTTTAGGCTGATGGTTTCAGCAGGTGGAGGATGACTAATCCTTTTGGCTTCGTCAATGATGTTTTGAGGGACATCAAGATTGGAAGTTCTCATGATTTTACTGACCTTCGTTAAGACGACAACTGGCTCAGGGTCAAATTTGAAGACATAGTTTGTCAGCATCACAGTGTCAGAAACTTTCAGGCTGGGTAGCTTGTCAATGTCATACAATATTACTTTCACTACAGAGTCCCTGTCTGCAACACCTATTACAACACTCTCTTTCTTCTGTCCTGCAGATGTTGTATAACTGCTACGTGTTCCAACACCACAGACTTTCACCTTTAGAGGGTTTGAGTACGGTTTGGGTTTTGACCCCTTCAGTTTACCAATTGTGAACATCTGAAAAGAAAAGAAATGAATTCAATGAAAAAATAAAACATCAAAATGCTTGAAAATCATGTTTTAAGAGAATTTACATAATTATTGATAAATTCTTCATTTTGGCCCACAGGATTATTATATAATTGGGAAAAAAAGAAGGGTGGAGGGGTCAAAGGGGAAAGAAAAACAAATTTAACTTACCTAGGGGTAAAATTTGTTTTTAACGGTTAATCAAGCAAAGTAACTTGTATGAATAATATTTTTAACAATTCAATATTGTCTAATGAATGGATATTTCTCATAAGGAGCTTCTGGTATGATAACTATGATATGATGTGAAGAAATTATTTCTGTATATTAGAAAACTTGAGCATTTGCCAATCTTATCATGTAAGAACACTATACGGTTTTTCATTTCAAAGAAACATAAAGGGGTTTATGATCAGAATAGTATGTTTCTAGTGTGCCCCAAGAAATAAGCTGATCAAGTGGAACATTTGTGTAAATATGATCAATCACAGAACTATAGTCAGTAGTAACATCTGTGGGCAAATATCTAAGACCAAAATTTTCTAACATAAAAGACTGAATCTGTTCAGTTGCCTGTGCATCAATGTTGAAATCCCCTATTATCATATGAGGATTTTCCAGCAAATCAGAGCCAAGTAGGCTTTTTAGAATTTCCTGTGGACATGAAGTGGAAGTTTTGGGTGGCAAATGTAGGCACTTTAAAGTAATCCATCTTTTTCTCAGAGCAACATCAGCTGAAAGTATCTGTGTAGATCCATACATGTTTTTCTGTAAATTCTGGATCAAGACACCATTCTTCACATCAATGGCCAATCCATATACTGGTCTTTGCAGACCTTGACAAGGGTAATCAAAACGATGCAACTGAAAACCTGGCAATGAAAAATGTTCATTCTTGTCCGATTCAATGAAACGTGTTTCAGCCACTGCAATTATTTCAGAAAAAAGTAGATTAAAGTCTTTTTCCAAATCAATAAAATGACAGTGGAGAGATCTGATGTTAAGAAACAGAATTCTTGCAGCAGCATTAGCATGATTTTCAAGATATTCATAACACAAGCTGATTTTTGAATCATTTCTGAGTCGATCCATCTCTTCGAGGACAGCTGTTGAAACTGATATCTTTTTTTCATTCAAGTCTAAAATATGCAGTTTGTCCATGTTTGTGACTCTGCTCAAACCAACATAATGTATATGATCCATCTTCCTTGTTCCACAGTGAACAACAGCACTCTGTAATGTAGAACCTTGAGATTTGTGTATAGTTTTTGCTGCCGCAAGTTGCAAAGGAAATTGTCTCCTTTTCACCTGATAGGTTCCATTGAACTGTACCTTTAGCATTCTAGTTATTTCTAAAATGGGAGTCCAACTTTTTTCAATACCTGAATGATAAAATCTTGCATATTCAATTCGCATTTTCTGTCCAATGTGCACTTCTTCAAATTCAACCCATATTATACTGACTCTGTGAGATCCTTCCACAAGATATTCAAAATGTTTTATAATACAGGAGGATCCATTTGTTACACCATCCTGAACACTCACATTGTTTGTAATTTCAGCAGGAACACCCAAAACTAACTTTAACTTGCTAGCTAACCCCATGGTTTTTGAGCTGTCATCTGGAACTCGCATTAATATTTTTGATTGCAAATCAGGATTTGTTGAACCTATAACCCAATCTATGGCTTCAACAACAATCTTTAAATGTTCTTCTGCAGCATTAATTACAGAGCAATTGAACAATTCCACTTCTTTCCTAGTTGTAAACAAATGAGGTACACTTTTGTACTCTGGCATTTCCACTGTCATGTTTTTTTTTCAATTTTTCAATATCCTGATCTGTATGGTAACCTTCTCTCAACCTATTTAGCAATTCTGCAAAAATTTTATCATCCTTCTGTCTCATGATTTGTGTCAATTCAAACATTTTAAAATTGTCTTTCCACAAATTTGCAGCAATGGGCCCATAATCAACACATGGTTGAGAGAAAATCAGTCTATCCATCACTGGTTTTAATTGAAAAAGGTCACCCACAGCAATAATGCTTATACCTCCAAATGGTTCCCTGACTCCTTTTATTTCTTGTAACCTCAGGTTTATGAAATTGAACATGCCACAGCCAACCATTGATAGTTCATCAATAAAAATAACTTTCAAGTGCAAATACTTAGTGCGAAAGGAGCTTAGCTGTTGCATATCCAATGGTTTGTACTTGAATCCTTGTCCTACAGGTAAACAGAAAGCTGAATGTATAGTTGATCCGTTTATGTTATGAGCTGCTTTTCCTGTGGGGGCACATAGCAAGACATGCAAATTATCTGGTGAATTGTGCAACTGGTGTGAGAAGTATTTGAACAAGGCTTGATATAAAGCTCTTGTGACAACACTTTTTCCAACACCAGCTCCTCCACTGAGAAATGCAAATAATGGTTCAGAACAAGTTTTCAATCTGTGCAACACATGGTACATAAATTGTTTTTGCTGTTCATTTAATCCTCTCATCATTTCCCTGTAAGCACAATCTTCAAGTTCTCCCCACTGGGTAAGATCTTCTTCCACCTGCTTTCTAGTGATTCCAAGGTCTAATCCAACATCATACACTGGGGCATTTTGTCCAGGATCAAAGCAACCATATTGATGAGATATTGTTTCTCCTAAGTTTCTGTCAATTTCTTCTTTATGTTCATTTTCAGGTGCAACATTACTCATACACACTTCATCTGCAATATTGTTTAGACATGCCTGTTCAACATCATGAAGAAGTTCTTGATTGTGTTCATATTCTGCTCTCTTCTTTTGAATAAAGCTATATCTTGCCATGTAACTCTCTTCAAAAGAACCAAAATTCTTTATCAAATCCTTCTCCTCATTTCGCCAATGAGTAAAAAGCATTAGAAGTTCTCTGTAAAATTTCTCAGAATCAGTTTCAATATCAAAATGAACCCAACGCAAAATACATGATTTCTTCCTTCGTACAATTTCTGTGCCATTCTTAAAAACATAGCTATGTTGAAAAACATCATCTTCCAAGGAAGACATGATGTCATCTGAAGTGTCTTCAACATACTCAGTTTCTGGCAAATCATGGTTAATCTGGGCCTCATTTTCGGTCTTCTTCGCTTTGTACTTTACAGAAAATTTCGAGATGAAATCTGCAAGGCACATATTTTCAATATCTTTTGGTCTCTGTTGATAAAGTCGTATAATGTTGTTCGACTCAATATCAGTTCTGTCCTCTTTCATTTCTTCTAAAATATGTCTTGGTTTCAACATAACAACTCTGTCTTCAGGGGGATGGGTATCAATGAACATAAATGATCTTGAAGTTCTTCGCAGAGGCATTTGTAATACAAGGTAAGCAGCCTCTTGAGCACCTTCTTCCACGTGAGTCAAGAATTGGTTTCCAATTCGTCTTATTTGCTGACGTATGTCAGAATCCAAACGCTTCGCTTCTTCACAAGCTTAATGTAGTAAACTGGACATACCCCTCTGTCCTTTGGAAACATAAGAAACTATATAAGCAGCACAAGCATAAGGATCTAAAATGAACTGCATGTCCATGTTAGCTAACCAACTTTTAAGCAGTATGGCATTATAGGCATTGACTCTACTTTCACTGGGATTTCTCTTTAGGAAAATTTTCTTCTGACTAATAGATGACCTAACTGCCAGTATGTATGTTTCTAAATTCATATCAAGTTTGCTCAAAAAACTGTCAAAGGTGAAGTTCCAATCTCTGTTTTCGGTGGAATCAAGAAATGTACATACTCTTTGATAATCTTTCTGGGCTGCTGCTACTTGATCTTTGTTTTCAAGTGGACATAAAACCGTTGTGTACGGCATTGGAGGAATTGGAAAATTAAATCGACAAATAGGTTTATTTCTTTTCATGCAGGTTCTAGCATGCCTGTGAGTCTGATAATTAATGAGAAATGACTCAACTTGCTCTTTTCTGCATGTCAAATATTTGTCAACAAATTCTGAAATTTCTTCAATTGTATTTGACTCTGTGGATGGCGCATTTTTGATCCAAAGAAGCATATGAACATGTGGTGAACCCCTCTGTTGAAACTCTATTCTATAAAAGAAATCCACAATTTCTCCAACAGGGTGTGTAGCATTACTTAAGATTTCATGGTAAAACCTTTGAAACCTGTAGTCAAAATAGCGTGCACATGTAACAGGATCAGCTTTGATGAGTTTGCATTTCTCTTCCCATGACATTTTTAAAACATCTTCCTCTGTATATTCAACCTTATTGATTAATTTCCCAAGTGTTATAAGCAAAGGAGTCCATTTAGTCTCAGCTGCTGAAAAAGAACAAAACCAAGTAGGAAGACCCAGTTGCCAGTTGCCTAATCATACCAAATACGTCTTTCTTGGCCTTCTCCCAATATGGTGGAGATCCTCGGAGATTACGCAAAACATGGTATCCCTCATTCAATCGTATTATTGAATCAGCTGTGTATCTGAGCAACTGTAAATTTCTTTCCCTTTAATTTGCACTTTCTGACAGCTAACGAGACTTTGTCTTGAATTTGCTTAATTTGCAATTTTTTCATTTTGAAGAAGATATTTGGAACACAGGTGGCACATCTCCTATCTACATTCCTTAGTTCCCATTTACATAGTGTACTATAATGCAAAGGAATTTTTCTGTCTTTGTTATCAGGTCTAACCTGGCCACAGTATATTGTTGGAAAAGCCAGGAATTCAGAATTAATGTCTTTAAACACACTAATTGGACTGTTGTGTTCTCCAGGTGCCACATTCAAAACCTCATTAAATTCACGAAAGTCTATAGGTTGCATTACTGTGTCTGTGTTTCCTGTTGCTCTTTCATCAATATTTTCTTCTATCCATTTCTCTACAACATCCGATTCAGAGTTCACTGTATCATTTTCCTCGATGATGTTTTCGTTGTCACAAGAAATTTCATTTTCTTCAGTTGAATAATCAGTAAACCAGCTATCATTTATTTCAATGCCCTCTTTTTTGAACAATTTACTATTATCAACTAGCCATTTTGCTGCATTCAAAACTTTATTAGGTCGAATTCTTTCAAAAGCTACAGAATGTTTATAATTCAAACTGCGCTTGAATTTCAGTGCAATTGTTTCATCCTCTGTCAACATTCTTGGTAACTTGTTCACTGTTGACATCACATCTGCAGGGACATTTACAACATTTCCACTTATGCTCAACTGTCCACCCCTGGGCTTTTCTCTCAACTGCATGAATGGTATCCTTGGTGCAACTAAGCGTTCTTCTAAAGATGATAATTCAAGTTCTGGGGGTTTTGGTGGAAAACCCAGTGAATTCATTATGGAACATGGTGGAATTCGGTTTTCTTTAAGATGTTGATAACAAGTTCTACATACCAAATCATCATTTTTTATCCGACACTTTTGAAGCATTGTTGCAGAAATTTTGGATGCTTTTTGGACACTTTCTTTGAACCAAGTTCGGGTGCAACACCTACACACATAATTTGGACCAGATAAAACGCTTTTATGAAACTTAGTGCAACCTCAGTCTCATTATGCTCAATAGCATGATCACGAGCATGTTGTATTTGTTCAAAGTCTGTATGACCACAAATGTCACATATATTCAGATCAAATAAATTTGTCTTGACTTTTGACAGACATAAAGCATTCTCTTGTCTTGTAAAGTGTGCACGATCTTGCACAATAAAACCACGTATCTGATACAAGTCAAACTGAACACTTTCTTGACAATTAAATATTTGTCTGATCAATTTATTTACACCTGAGAATGTATTTACAGTGAATATAACTGCATTTCCATCAGAATTTGGTTTCCCAGAAGAATCTCTTGCATGTGGATCAAACACATGGAAGTAGGGATCAGAATACAGAATAGACACAGCAGCATCTTTGCTTATAAATAAACCCGCTTCTGTTGATCCATAAAAACATGAAGCCATAGCAGACTCCAGTGACACAAAAGGGCCATTTTCCACAAAAGATTCACAAAGATTGCCCGAGAATGTTGAACCCACTGAGCATCGCAACAAAGTTTTCTCAAAACAGAAGTAACTTGGTAAATCATTTGGCTGTAAATATGAATGGGTACAATACTGACGAACACGCCGATACACCTCATCCCCATTTTGTAAAATAAAATCTATATCCTCTGAGCTCCATTCTTTAACTTCACTTACACTGATATACTTGTACAAAATACTAACTATAGCATTTGAAACACATTGCCTCCCTCTACTCCTTTCCGAGAATGTATCAGATCCCTGGTGCAAACTACCAAACACACACTTCTCAATATCAGTGGTACTAACACAAGACCGTGCTTTGTCATTGCTTTTTCTTTTCTTCGTTTGACTGGAACATGAGGACGATACATATCTTTTGGGCATACTTTTTTTTTTAGACAAAATGATTGTTAACAGAATTTTTGTACTCAATTTTGCTGTTGAATATATCTTTTTTATCTTCATACTCCATGGGTGTTTTTTTTTTCATTCCACAACTTTAAATTTCATCTCCAGAAAATTTCATCTCTCAGTAATGATACTTGGATGCACAACTCCATGGGTTTTTTTTCACAAAAATTCCACAATCCAAATTTGAAATCATCATCTCCTGGAGTC